GGAATGGAGACGTCAGATGCCACACCACACCTGGACACTGATACAGCTGTGAGACTGCCAGTACCTACATCTTTTGTTTGAAAACTGCGCTATGTGGTGGTAGTATGTTGCTGGGCCCATGAAGCCAGTATGCCTTTCTGCTTGGCCACCAAGCATCAGCAGGGCCCTGCTGATTACTACCCATCATGCATTAATAAACATCTGGAGGTGAGGGGGTGTGGAAAATACTGGGAGAACCTCAAAACCGTATCTTTGATTACACTGTAACGCACAGCGGCTACGCTCCCCATGTAGTTCAATGTTGTGGGCAAGAAATCAATCAGCCCTTCATCCTGGGAAGACCAGTGGACTATGACTTACACACCAAAGCACAGAAAACAGTTAGAGCTGTGTCCAGGTCCAGGGCACCATCATACAGTCCTGCAGCCTCTCAGACATGTTTTTGCAGGAGCATCTTGAGCAACAGGGTGACTAGAGCCACTTCAGGAACTAATAAGAGAAAGTGCCAGGAATAGCAATCATAGCTCTGAAATATTAATATTTGTTGCAATTACTTGCTGACAGTATTTAAATAAGGAAAGCTATGCCACCAAAAGCAGAGCTATGTGAGAATGTTCTGTCATTGTTTCATTGAGTGCATTAGCTTTTTTTTTGTACAACATCCTGTTATCTCTTAATTTACAGTTACTTTGCTTAAATTGTTGTACAGGACATGATGTACTAAGACAGCACTGCTGAGCACAACCACCTTCAGTATGTGTTTTAAAGATCTGAGTTATACCAAAAAATAAAAAGCAGGCACAAGGCATATTTTTTTAACATACGTTCCAGTGCTATTCTTTCCATTTTACAATATCCCATTCCTACTGTCTTGGACAAAGAAGCCATCTTGAGTCTGAATTTCACAGTCTATTTTATTGCCAATTAACTTAAACTTTAAATTATCAATTCTGGTATTGAGAAATAAAGACAAGCAATTCATCAAACTCTTAGGGGAAACACATGAGCTACCCTCAGACACCTCTCCTGGCCCCTTCATGGTCTCCCATTCCCTCAGTGCCTTCACGGAGGCTATGGAGATTGGGATCAGCTGCTGTGGTGCCTCTTCTTTTGCTGGTCCTTGTTTCTCACTGCACTGCTCTAGCGTGGTGTGGCCTTCACCAGCCATGGTCCCTCTAGAGTCACAGCTCCTCCAGCGTCTTCTGTGTGCCTGCCCCAGCTTAGGGGATTTCTTTTCTCCAGCACTTGCTGGTGGCAACTCTTTGCTCCAGTTGTGCTTAGGCTGTTGGCCAGTACAGGGTGGTCTGTGACCTCCTCTTCCTCCCAGGTCACCCCTGCAATCCCAAGCTACCAAGACCCTGCCAGTTATGCCCAGTGCACCCATTCACTTTTCTGTGGGAATTTCTGCCTGTTGTAGTTTAACCTGGCAGGTAGCTAAAACAACCACGCAGCCATTTGCTCATTCCCCCGCACCCTGCAGTGTGATGGGGGAGAGAGCTGAAAAAAGTAAAACCTGTGGGTTGAGATAAATAGAGTTTAATAGGACAGAAAAGGAAGATGATGATGATGATGATAATAATAATAATAATAAGAATATACAGAACAAGTGATTCACAGCACAATTGCTCACCAACTGCTGACAGATGCCCAGCTAGTTCCCAAGCCATGGCCCACCCTGGCCAAGTCACCCAAGGTTATATACTGAGCATGATGTCATATGATATGAAATATCCCTTTGGCTAGTTTGGGTCACCTGTCCTGGCTGTGTCCCCTCCCAATGTCTTGTGTATCTCCTGCAGAAGTCTCATGCCTCCTTGCTGGCAGGACCTGGGAAGCTGAAAAGTCCTTAATTGTAAACACTGCCTAGCAACAACTAAAACATCAGTGTGTTATCATCATTATTTTCATACCAAATCCAAAACACAGCACTATATCAGCTGCTAGGGAGAAAGAGAGAGGAGGTGGGGAAAGGATTTGGGTGCTGGCAGAGACTGCAAGTAGTCTCCCAAGTACCGAGGCCTGCTGTGCTCCACACAGGCCTTCCCTCCTTCCTGATCCCCCCACCACAGCTCTTCATTTGCTTTCCATAGGCTCTCCCAGCTGCCCAAGTCCTGAAGCCTGGTGAAATAGTAATGAGTGCCTATGCCAAGCACTAGGAACGGGTAAGAGAGTTTAACCTGGGGGAAGGAGAAAGCAAAAAGCAGGAACTAGTACCCCTTCCCTCTCCACAGTGTTGTAGACGTTGCAACCTGTGCCCTGTAAGAGGGCTCTTCAAGGTGTGGTCGGGCACCACTGGTGGGCTGTCTGCCACCAGAAACCATCCTCTCAAATGTAAGCTGCATAGCTATACAAAAACAAGCACACACTGCTGTCCAAGCCAAAAATCACAGCAAAAAGTATAGTGTGTTGGGAGGGGAGAATAAAAATAATGAGTGACAATTCAGAGACTACCCTGTTGTTCACTTGATTGGAAATGCAAAGCAGTGTGATGGCAGTGGATTTGCTGGCCCGTAGAATTTCTGCCAGGTGGCTAGCTTGCACTTGGATTTAACCCCACCACACAGCAGTCAAAGGGTGGTCAGATGGGGAACCCGCACCATTCTTTGGAGCCATCCAGTGCCCACCCCATGCATTCCCACCCGGTCAGACGGGGTGTATGGACACAGAAGGCTGGTTGCATGAGATGTTTATTTGCTGCTCCTCCCATGTTACAGGGGAAAAGTCCTTGTTTCCTTAAGCAGTTTCAGTCCTAGTGCGTTTGGTCGTATGTGCCAGCTCCCTTGTAGGCTCCAACATAGCCGCTGTTGTCTGTCAGATCCTGGCGGCCAGCAAGACCTTTCCCTTTGCCACTCTCATCAAAACGCTCTTTGTGGCTGCCGGTGTATTTGCTAGTGTCCGTCAGCCTCTCGACCCCACCAACTTTGGTGGCTTTCTGCAAGAAAGGAGGCAAACAAGAGGCAGACAGAATTAGAAAACAGCTCACAAACAAGCTCTTCCCTACATGCGAGGACAGCACACATCTTTACAGCAGGGATGAATGGTCCCATGGCAGCTCAAGGTGGCATACTCACCGTGGCGCCCACGCTGCCGGGCTCCTTCCCCTCGATGAGGCCATACATAGCCTGCAACGCTTCCTCCGGTGATTTGCCCTTGAAGCGCTTGCCGCAGAGCTCCTTCATGGCCTGCTGGAACTCAGCAAAGGTGATGGTGCGGGCACCCTTGGTCCTATGGCGAGGGGAGACCAAGAGGAAAGTTACCTTTCCACTGGGTGGCAGTGGAATGGGAAACCCCCAGGGCTGACCCTAGCAAGGGAGTCTGCATGCCTCCTGCCATTCCTTCCTCCCGCCCGGCTGTGCTGCCCACCGTGCCTCCCTGCAACACTCACTTGACTTTGTTGAATACGATGTCAACGTCAGTGCTGGTCACGGCTTTCCCATCCATGACCCCACACTCTTTGCACATCTTGGAGAAGTTTTTCCCCGTCATGTCATTGCCACTGGCAGATGTGTCACCATACACCGCAAATTTACGGAAAGCATTTTCTACCTCCGACATCTTGCTGCTATGGAGACAAGAAGTTGTGAGGGAAGAAGCTGAGGACCATCTTCAGCTGCTGGACACACATGTCCCACACATCTCATCTCCAGCATAGCAATGGGCACCACCCACAGGTATCTCTCCACCATGGACAACCATGACAACCACACAGGTATTTACACAGAACCCTTGGGATGCAGGCAGGATTGGGGGAGGGATGGGTTGGGACGTGAGGCAAGGCAAAGGAGAGGTGGAGGTGGGGCTCGGAGGTGAATTAATGACTGCTGCATGTGAAGAAATGAGGCATCAAAGCTTCTGAACCTTTTTGAAATAAAAGTTTCAGTTAGACTGTCTCAATAACAAATGCTTGCATTTGTAAGCTGATTTATGCTTTGCCTGTTATTTGATGATAAAGAGTCCAGATTTGTCTTCCAGGCCCCAGATAAGTGCCTAAATCTCACAGAACTTCTTGCAAGTAGTCACCAAGGAGTTGTCCCCATCTTTCCCACCACACTTCGTCCCCTGAACTGCTCCATGAATTAGGTTGTCCTCCTCCCAACACCAATAAATTTTCCAGTACTAGTCAACTTATACCACTGCGACCAGGTATCAGGGATCTCTGAGAACACAGAAGCCATTGCTCAGATTGTAAATCAGTCCACCATGACCTCAGCAGGCGATTTCTGCTGCTTGTGAGACACCTTCGAACCCTTTTGAAATACCCAGCCCCTCCTACAGCCTTGTGCTTCACGCAGGTGCTCTGGGTCTCAAGGTTCTTTGCAGGCTGCCATTCAACATAACTCTTGTGTGGGTCTGCATGTCTCTAGATCAAAAATCAGTCAGGCTTGTACCAGGGAAGCTGTGTCCTGCGAGCATGAAGGGGGCAGTGGGGGGCTCTGAGTGTCCTTGCCATCTCAGGACCCTTCCCTCCCTCCCTGGGAGGTGTGGACCCATCTCACCTGTGTGAGCTGGCAGTGATGGTGATGCTGCTGGCACTTTCCCTGCTGTCCTGGAGGCAGTGGGCACTCAGAACCACCCCTCGTGCCTCGCTGGCCAATTGTTACCTCAGCACCCATGTATGTCATAGTTCTTTGAAGGCTCGCCACAGGGCAGGGGGTGGGAGAAGAGGAGGGGGGACAACCCTGTGCCACCAGAGAGGTGGTGGTCCGAACCCCTTGGGGGGGTTATTGGACCTTCAGCCCACTGTGAGACAAAAAACCAAATACTGCATACTTTTCAGCTAGCATAAGCATCACACACTGGAAATGTCATCTGTACTGGGATATTTACTCCAAAGGCAAAGCGCGTCTATCCCTATAATCAATAAAATGCAGCCAGTCCTTGCTCCTCCTTCCTTGAGGAGATGCTCTGCTGCCAGCGTGCTTGTGACCTGGCTAGGGGATGTGCCCGCACACCTTTGGGGGTCACCAGGAAATCAATAGCTCCAAAAAGCAGAGTGGGGTGGGAAGGGGGAGAGACATAACACACATCACCTGTGGAAAAACTTTGAGAAACACAGTTTTGCCTTCATAAGCTAATAGACTTAAAGTAGCTGGAAACTGGATCTGGGAAGTTCAGGCCATCAGTAAGGCTCAGCTTGCACCCCAGCAGTCATACCGTCTTTGTAGGGTCACTGTGATAGTGCACTGTTAAAAAAAGCATTTCATCTTTGTGGCCCATGTAAGACTAAATGAATGTGCTTGCATTGGTTGATTTATTTATTTTCCTTAAGCTGTGCTTAGCAACATGGAATCATGTATAAATGCACCTTATTTCAGAAATATTTTGTTCTCACCACTAATTAACAGGCATGTACTTTGCAGTCTTGCTGTTGATCACAGCAAGCCCACAGCAGCAGGGTGAACTTGGACAAGCTCTACCCGTTCCAGGAGGAAAATCTTGCAGATACTCCTGCATGCTCACTGCCCCTGCACTTCTGCATGGCCTTTGGTCTTCCTGTTGCACTGACCGTAATTCTTCACCAATTACATTGCCATCCAGGGAAACTCGTTTGCCCCTTGGCATGTCTTGTGCGAAGGGCACTGGCCAGCTCTCACCCTTGACAGGCTTCTGTGGGAGGGTGGTCCAGGCAAGGGTGAAATCACACAGATGATGATGTGCAGGGCAGATGTACATGTTGTTGTTGCTGGGGTTTTTTCTCATATTCTGGAAAGGTGTCTGTTTTCTGTGGCAGAGTGTATTTTTGGAACTGAACTTCCACCCCCCCCCCCTTTTAGTTTTAGCATATGACTTTTTTAAAATTAAAAAAAAAAAAAAAACCAAACAGAGCGGTTGGTCTCATCCAACCCCTGTCTGACCCTAAGGACAAAGCCCCTTTTCCATCTGTGCACCTCACAGGTAGAGTGAGCATGCAAGAAGCTCACCAGAGGTCACCAACATTTAACAAAAAAGAGAACTATGTTATTTCAATCCTTCACACACATGCGCGCACACACACGTATGGGCACAGATTCTTATTAGCTAATATGTTTTATTAAGAAAAAGGCAAATGGCCAGATTGCTGTTCTTCTGAAATTTCCTGCCTTCTCTATACTCAGATTTCTCTAGGAGATCTCTGTTCCTGTTGTCATCTGCAAATTTTATTAGCAGCAATTTTTCCTATATTTTCAGCTCCCCAGTACAAACATGAAAAGGCATTGGGCCTACCACCATAAGCTGCAGATTCCCCCCACAGCCACCTCTATGGAAAAGCGTCTCCTGTAATCTGTCAGTTTTCTGTCGCTGAATTCATTTAACCTGGAGGACAGCGCTTTAAAGAGCCACTGTTTAGAATGATAGCACGTAACTGACAGATCACACAGCAAAATTGTTTTAATATGTTCCAGACATATTGCTGCAGTGACGTTAATACAGAGATTAATCTGAATCACTGTGCCTATGGTCTTCGCTCTTCAATTCTCCCATGGCTACATGCCAAAATTTTTCTGCTTTCAACTGCAAGGCTTTCGACAACATCAGGACAAAGGAGTACACAATTTGGTCCCAAGTAACTAGTTAAGTATTTGGAGCTGTTGCCAGCCTTTTATGAGCTTGGTTTAAAATTACATTTAGGGAGGTTTGAAGCATCTTAGATATGACAGACGCTGCAGAAATAGAGGAGGATCGTCAGAAAAAAAAAGAAGAAAAAAGATAAAAAGCAATATTCTACTAAATATAAGTAAAATATATAAACAGACATGCACACACAGTATTCCCCTGTTCCTGAAGCAAATGCACCATTAACAAGAAATTCTCAAATTATGAAAGGATATGCTAAGTTTCTTAAATCTTAAATATTCATTTGTTGGGAAGTGGTTTATTCTGTATCAGTAAAATGCCTAGCTGTAAAACAGAGACCAAATTCAGTGTTCTGTTCAAATACTTACATAAATCTGCAGGAAAGTTGGAAGACAGCTTTGATACCATCTTCATGGAATCAGCGTTATTTATTTAAGGAAAAACAGTATTTCGAAGAGACTAAAAGGATAAAAAAAGAAGTTAGGGCATCTGTAATACTGAAGCAATCCAAACTAGCTCTGCAGAATAGCAGAAATACAGGAGAAAAGATTAATGTCTGAAACTCCTTTGTAGACAAGAAGAATATTAACTTCTGCTGTTATGAATAAATGAATTCTAAATTATTCTTTCACTGCTAGATTTTATGAACTATTACCATAATCACATAAACCTCCTTTTTTCACATAAATCTATGTATAGCATACGACTTCCCTTTCAGTGCCATGATCAGAGAAACCATTTGAATGAAGACATTAAAGCAGTGAGATTCCAATTACCGTGTGAAACACTCTAAATCTGTCAAAAAGAGCTGCTCAGATTACTGCTAGACCCAGAAAAGCCCAAATGATGGAGGATGAAGGTGAATTGAAACTCAGATGTGGAGCTGTACCCAATCCACAAGCCCCCACATTTGGTCCCAGAGCATGTCCTTTTTCAGCCAAATTGCCCCTTTCCTGGTCTCGGAGTAGATGAAGAACAAAGTTTTATTTAAAATAAGAGTCAAGTAGGAGAATGTAATACATAGCACAAGTTTGAAAGGCAGTGACTTTAGCTGTCTTGCTGAATGAATGTAATCTGTCTGATGCAGATGTATGGGGATAGAGGAGAAAAGAGAGCAATTTGTTGGTGCCTGGCCTTAAAAGAGAAGTTTTACAGAATAGCTGAAAGAACAAGAATCTTGCACCGAGAAACTTGAAGCTACTTGTCAGAAATTAAAGCTAAATAGACCAGACATGCAGCTGTTCTGTGTAAAAATATTTTATGGGATTTCTTTTCTATATCTTCAGTTCTTCAGTGCAGCTTTTATTTATGTCAGGCACGCACACACACATATACAATCAGGAAACCTTTTATGGACATGTAGATCAAACTGTTGTTCAAAGGAGTAAATTAGGACGAGTTTAATAATCCTGCGCTGAAGTAACCTTCTGTATGCCTCAGTCTAGCCCATATGAACTCAAGGGACTCATCCTTTACTTGAAAATCAACATGTGGAAAACTGTATTTCTGCATTGTACTGGGGTCTCTGGTGAGATCCCACAGTGAGCCCACAGAAATAAACCACAAAATTATCCACCCTTACCTCTGACCTTACTGAGCATATCCCTCTAGTAAAAAATGGATGATTACCAAAAACCAGATTCCCTCTCTGTGGAAATCACCTGCCTCTCATTTCAGAGGCTGAGCACAGCAAGAGCTGATGATTTCTTTTTTAACCTGTGGTCAGTCTGTATCTACATCTGTCCAGGAAATACATGCTTTAGAGGGACATCCATGGGCCAGTCCTCTTCATGGGAACTTGTCTACAGTGGGTGACGCTTTCTGGTCATTGCAATGGGAGATGCCCAGTCCTGTCTGAGCCAGGGTCCCCCCAGTGCAGGCTGTGCTGGTGGGGGAGGAGCCAGTATCTCCCCCAGCAGAGACGGAGCACATGATGGAGGGCAGGCACCGAAACCCACAGCACTGATGCTCAGGAACCACATGGGAAAATGCCTGCTGCACAGACAGCTGGGGCAGGGTGCC